GGGAGAAATGTTCTTATATTAAAATGCTCACCTTATAAGCTAAATAATGTGATTGAATGTATTAAAAAATGTAAAATAAATAAATACAGGAAGAAAACATGAAAAAAATGTAATTGAAACACAAAAAAGTTTGAGTGTAGATTTCGCTCTTAGAAAATAAAAATAAAATTTATTGCATAAATGAGTTTTTATTTTAATTTGATTCTAGAAGTATTTTGAAATATAATGATTATATATCAAATATCAGAAAAGGTTAAGGTTAATATAATTAGATATTTTCTCATATGTTAGATGATCAGAAATTATTATTTTTTAAAAAATTTATTCCTTGTCATTATTTATTTATTAAAGTTGATCAGAGAAAGACAGAGAGAGAGTGAAAGTGAGAAAGCAAGCTAGGTCTGGGACTCGAACCATGGTCAGCCATGTGGGAGTCCAGCTGCCTTAACCACCACACCACCTACAAGCCCAATATCAGAAATTATTTTGAAATGATTGTAGACTAGGAGGACTTAATAACATCTTTTAAAAATACTTTGGGTTCCAAGGGAGGTAAATTGTAAAAAGCAGCTATTTGTCTGAAAGTGCAATCAGGCTTTGTTTTTGGTTTTGCTTTCTAATATATAGGAGCTCCGAGTTGCCACCCAGGAAAAAGAGGGCTCCTCTGGGGCATGCATGCTTACTCTCTTAGGCCTTTCATTCATCTTGGCAGGACTGATTGTTGGTGGAGCCTGCATTTTCAAGTACTTCATGCCCAAGGTAATAATAATTATAATTCTTATACTTTGGATTACTAATGGCTATACATTTAATAGCAACTTAAATAATCTTGTGGTGGTCACCAGAGAAATGAAGATTTAGGGAAAGTTTTCACAATACCTTTCAGTTCATAAAATTGATTTATTTTCATTGTGATGATCGTAATCAATAAGTCTCAGTTTAGTAAAATGAAACATATAAATATGAGAGATTATTTAAATGTTACGATAGTGATATTAAAAGGTTTTAATGTGCCCTTTTTGTCTTTTAGAGTACCATCTACTATGGAGAAATGTGTTTCTTTGATTCTGAGGACCCTGCAAATTCCCTTCATGGAGGAGAACCTTACTTCTTACCTGTGACAGAGGAGGCTGACATTTGTCAGGATGACAACATCACAATCATTGATGTGCCTGTCCCCAGTTTCTCTGATAGTGACCCTGCAGCAATTATTCATGACTTTGAAAAGGTGAGTTTCTCATTCTTATAGATATTCCAGAACTTTGTCTTTTTATTCTAGTTCATTGGCTAATCCACTCATAAATGTACATTTTCCATAGCGAAATCTTTTCATTCTTTCGTTTTAAAATACACATTGATTGATTTTGAAGGAGTGTAGTTTTGTGTGCTAAGGGTAATTGAGAAATATACAGTATTGATACCTTCTACATATCACCTAACTTCTTTTCCCTCTCTATCAGGGAATGACTGCTTACCTGGACTTACTGCTAGGCAACTGTTATCTGATGCCACTCAATACCTCCATTGTTATGCCTCCAAAGAATCTGATGGAGCTCTTTGAAAAACTGGCGGTATGTATTTTGGAGGTCAATTTTTCTGTAAGTATTTCCAAATAATTTTTCTTCCTTGTTTTAAAAAAATTATGGGTTGGGGCCAAACACTCTATTTTGTTGAAATAGTTTTTGAATAAGACTGTATGCTGTGAGCCTAAAATTGCACTACTAAATGAAAAGTGTGATATGTTATAGGCAAGGATTTAAGTAGTACTTTTAACAATTTTTCATCTTAATCTTTTTTTTATTTTAATTCTTCTAGAGTGGCAAACACCTGCCTCACACTTATGTGGTCCGTGAGGACCTGGTTGCTGTGGAGGAAATCCCTGACATTAGTAATCTTGGCATCTTTATTTACCAACTTTGCAACAACAGAAAATCCTTCCGTCTTTGCAGCAGAGACCTCCTGCTGGGTAGGCAATTAATTTATTTCTTTATCCTTTGTTACTGGAACAGTGAAAGAACATGGGGCTGGAGTATAGGGGAAAGTACAGAGCAAGTTAGATATCTTTTCATTTACAAAAATTTTTTTTAAAAGTCACGTTTTTGTGCTTTTCCTTACAGGTTTCAACAAACGTGCCATTGATAAGTGCTGGAAGATTAGACACTTCCCCAATGAATTTATTGTGGAGACCAAGATCTGTCAAGAGTGAGAGGCAACTGATAAGAGTATCCTTGGTCATAAGAAGTCAGAGATTTACACTATGACTTCATCATTAAAGCTTATGGGATACTGAAGATATTTAGTCACACATTTACTCTATTGCTTATACTAAAAAAAAAAAAAAAAAAAAAGGGGAGGAAAAAGAAAAAGAAAAAGAAGAAAGAAAGAGAGGAGGACTACTGACCACTGTGAGCTCTTGTCAAATTTTAGTTTAATTGGCCTTGCTTGTTTGAAAATGAAATTAAATAATTCTTATTTCTTTCTTTTGAACTTAAAGAGTTTAGATTTCTGAAAGCAGCATAAATGCATCAGCTAACATACTTACAATAAATTCCATCCTTTGTTTTGTTAAATTATGCTGTTCACTCAATCATATGGTAAAGCATATTTTAAATTTAAAATATTTAATACGGTTTTTGACCTTTTTGTGTAAATCATGTCAAATATCTTAACATTGTAAAGTTTTGTTTTTTATCTTGTGCAACTTTCCTGAATTTAGAAATTATATCTTTGCATTTATGTTAGGTGCTATGTAATGAATCTGAATTACATGTGAAAATTTATCATGAAGAAGTTATTCTTCACTAATACAATGACTCTTTCCTACTGATATATGTATTGTGAGATCCACAAAACTGTATAGGTGCTGAATGCTGTAAAGAGTTTAGGTTTTATGAATTCTACAACCCTATAATGAATTTTACCATATTCAATCATTGTTTTTTTTTATTCCATCATTTGAGGTATATTTAATGTGAAAATATTCTCTAGCGTTAATGTACCTTCAACAGATCTAATATTATGAATCTAATTTTGCTTCCATTCTCATTTCCACACATTTATATTTTGTAATCTCATATTTTACTCTTGTTTTATATCATACTAATCACTCTTTTAGAAATATTCCATAACTGACTCATGTAAATTCAACTATTTATTAAGAGTTTTCAAGCCCATATCACTTTTAAACCTTTTAATGTTTTATTTTTCATAAGAAATATTAATACTCATGTATAACTCTAATAGGTCACTAAGGACTGTGGATAAGAAAGCATATAGGAACTTCATATGCTGTGATCTTTACTTATTTATCTAAGACTATAAATTCCATACCAAGGAAGCCAATGGTATATACTTTTTTCCTACTGTTAGGTAAAAAATTGTTTCTGATATCATTTATCACATACTGGTAGTGACTGCTGATCAATTCTTTTAGCCAAGCTACCCACTCAAATCTATAGCCTTAAATGCTGCAATTAAAAAAAAAAAAAGACATACAAGTCTTTCGATCGTATTCTTTATTTTTAAAAATTTGCCAGAGGGCATGTGAACTTATCAGAAACAGAAAAATGAAAGAGAAAGGGAAAATGAGCATGCCATGGGGCATGGTTACATGCAATGTCTTTTCCTCCACCTCTCCCTCTTTTCAGGATTTTGGGCATACACTCACATACACACACATGCCTGGTGTGTTGAACTACACAGTTGGCCATGTGAGATCCAGTGCCTTAACTACCACACCACCAATAAGCTTCCAGTATTTTATAATGAAACAAATTAAATATTAAGTTCAATAATTCAGCTGTTTTGAAAGAGCAGAACATAAAAGTTTATCTTGACCTACCATACATCAAAAGTTAACTGGGATGTTTTGCAATTGTGATAGTTAATTTTAGGTGTCAACTTGACTGAAATGAATGCCTAGATGGCTGGATGAGTCTATGAGAGTGTTTCCAGAGAAAATTGGCAATGTGAATTGGTGAACTGAGTGGAAAAACTACATCCTCAAAGTGAGTGGGCAATATCTGATTTGCTGGTGGCCTGAATAGACCAAAAAAGCAGAAGAAGGGTGAATTCTCTCTCTCTCTCTCTCTCTCTCTCTCTCTCTCTCTCAGTCTGAATAGGATGACTTTCTCCTCTTGTTTTGGACAGGTTCAAGTTCTTTTGCTTTTGGACTCTGGGATTTAGACCTGTGGCTTTCTTTTCAGGGCTCTCGTCCTCAGACTAAGAGCTATACCTGTGGCTTCTTTGGTTTTTAGGGCTTCCAATTTGGACTGAGACATACCATCAATTTCTGTGGTTTTCCAGCTAGTGGATGGTCTATTCTGGGACTTCTCAGCCTATCTATCTATCTGTCTAGCTATCTATCTATTCATCTCCTATTTGTCTTACACCTCTGGAATACTATAATACATTTATTAAAATAGTAATATATATTTTAAAAATTTTGCCAGAGATTACATGTGTTCCCTGAAAAGAGACAAAGAGAGAAAATAAAATAAAATAAAATAAAATAAAATAAAATAAAATAACACCTCCCAGAGGGAATGGTCACACTACAATTCCTTCTCCTGCATTTCTCCTTCCTTTCAGGATTTTGGCTACACATACACATATTCCTGGTGTATTTTTCAAGGCTTTGAGTCCAGGACTTGAACAACACATTCAGTCACATAGAATCCAGCCACCTTAATCACCACACCAAGTGCTAGCCCAACAATAAGATTTTGAAATATAAAAAAATGTAGAATCAAGTTAAAATATACATAAAAGTGTGTATATATAGTATGGTGATATTTTATTAATGAGAAATACTTGTATAGCACAAAAGTGGCATAGCAAATCAGAGAGAAAGATGAGCTAGTCCATAAATATTTCTAGGAAACTCGGTTATCCATTGGAAAGCCAAGGTTAGATTCTAACAAAATATTTTTACAGGTGCATCAGTGACATAAATGTCCCCCCAAAAGGATACATGTGTAGGTTTGTGTCAGCTGTGCTAGCTAATGGATTTATTTAGACTAATTAAGTTAATTGGTAGAACAATTGAATGGGGGGAGGGAGGAAGGTATGGAGGGCAACCATGGATGCCAGGGACAATGGGGGAGGAAGATGGGACATAGCAGAGGGTGGGGGATGGGGAATCAGGGATGGCAAGACAAAGGGCAAGGTATGCAGGACGTAAGAATTGGAAAATTATTTGCTGAGAACATGTATGTGGATGTGCTTGATTGAGCGAATGCACAGTGTATTTTGGATGGAAAATTCATTTGTGTGTTGTGATGGTGTAAAGTGAATTAATAAAAAAAAAACTAATAAAGGGGGGCAGCCAGTGGTATGATACAGCCATGCTGTGTCCCATATGGCTAACTGCACGGTTCAAATCTTGGACCTGGTGGCTTGACAAACACTAGGTATGTGCACATGCGCGCTAAAAATCCCAACAGGAGAATGGAGGAGAAGGGACAGAAGCATGACCAATTCCCCAGGGAATGATTTATTACTTTCTTCTCTGGGAAGTGCATGCACCCTATAGCAAAAACAAAACAAAACAATAATAATAATAGAAGAAAGACTGCAGGATATGATAGGACCTTGGAATACAGAGAGACTCCTTAAACAATGAAAACAAAAATTACCAAGGGAAAAAATAATAAGTTTCTCTGCATCAAATTTTTAAAAACTGTTTCTCAAAAACAGGTGATAAACTGGAGAAAGATATTTATACTATATGTAACTGACAAAGTATCCGTAAAATGTTTTTTAGTCTTTTATATCAAATATGAAAAATGGGCAATGAATATGAACAGACATGTCGTTTAAAAAGTAAAAGGAAATATAGATGGTGTATTAATTAGAATTTGCTAGGGAGACAGAACTGATGGGATAGTGATAGATATAGATAGATAGATACATGGTAGATAGATAGATATAGATAGATATAGATATGTAAGAGGTAATTTATTGGAAGAATCGGATTACATAATCATGGTGGCAAAGTCTCACAGCAGGCTATCTGTATGCTAGAGGTACTGATATGCTTGTAGTCTTGCTTAGACTAGGTGCAAAGGCTTCAGAGACAAGTCTGAAAACTTGAGTACTAGAATTTTGTATTGTTCTCTCTGTATAGGTCTCTGGTATTAGTTCTTGTCAAACAATGGGATTGGATTATGCCTGCCCACATTGAGGGTAGATCTTCCCCACTTAGTCTGTTCAGACTCACATATTGATCTCTTCTAGAAACCATGAATACATCCAGAATAATGATTTATAAGGTTTCTAGATATTCCTTTGTTTTCTGAAGTTGACCCCTAAAACTAACCATCAGTTAGAAAACAAAAACAAACAAACAAAAACAAACCAAAAAACCTTATGAAATGATGTTCAACCTCTAGTAATTAAGGAGATGGAAACTAAAACGAAATGAGATATAGGCATGCTTCATGACCCAGCAATTTACCTACTTTATAACTACTTCAGGAAGACATGTACATGCTCAAAAAAGCATATATTAAATGCTTATTAAGACATTTTTTACAGGAATGAAAAGCTTGAACAAAGTACATTTTCATAAATAGTAATAGTTGATGTTTATTGTGTAATTCTCATGTGATGGGTGCTATTTCAAAATCTTTACATATATTGTTATCACATTTACTGTTCACATCAACCATGTTGATAGGGAAAAAAAAAAAACATGAGTAGAGAAAAAGAGTAACTTTCTCTATGATTGCAGATTTTGAGCCCAGTAATCTGACTACAGAGCCAGTGTTCTTAATAATTGTGATATTGTATAGTGAATTGGTTAAATTGTGTAGTACACTAACTGTGGAAAATAAATGGCAATTTAAAAAATTAAATTCAGGTTAAGTGTAGATTGTTAACATATAGATCTTTAATGAGATAGAATTTAGTATAAAGATCTCTAACATACATTGTAGAATGACAAAGTCAATTGCAGAAAAATATGTCTAGTATGAAAATATTTATATAAAAATTTCCTATACATATCACATATTTTCTATAAATTTATTTCAAAAACCATGACAAACATACAAGAAAATATCTAGAAGGTGGAAAAAGGAGAGAATAAAATTGGATGTGTGTGCATCAAAGGAAAATTTACCTTTACTTGTATGTATTATTTTTTTTTTTAATTTTTGCCATAGGGCCTGTGTGCTCATCAGTGAGAGACAGTGCAAGTGAGAAATCACCCCTTCAGGGGGCTGGCCATACTGCAATACTTTCTTCTTTCAGGATTTTGGGCATGCACACACAT